GTCACAGCACCAAACCTGAGAGAGTTCAAGAAGCATTTGGATGATACTCTTGGGCACATGGTGTGACTCTTGGGGATGGACCAGTGCAGAGTCAGGAGCTGGACTCAGTGATCCTTGTGGGTCCCTTCCAACTCAGCATATTCTGTGATTCTATGTGATTCTGTAATATGGGGTATATGAAGTGAGATAAAGAGGAGAAATACCATCGAGTTTTCTTTTTATCTATAACACTTAGGTTACACAGGAGTGTCAGACCACTTGTCAGTAAAACAGGTCTTCTTAAATCCTTACCATATAAAGACTTGAGTACCTCCTTCAGAAATTTCTAAAACATATTTTTGGCAAAGTACTTCATAGCTTTACTGCACTAGGTTTTGGCATCTGGGCTCCTGCTATAAAGAGCTCACTAAAAATCACTAAATTGTTTATAAATTAAATCAGTTCTTCCATGCTAAAAATTATTATATTTTCAGGTCTCTGATCTCAATCTTTCAGGGAACTGAAAGTGTTAATCAAATTGAAAAAAAGTTCTCTATTTCCTGTGGGAGAGAATACTATAATATTCTGGACTTCAACAATTATCCTTGACATAAAAATGCTTGTATATAACAGCCCTTGAGAGAATCCTACCCCCTTCAGAGGACCTGCAAAGCAGCAATTAGTATCCATGAGAATTTCACATGGCATAGAAAAGAAATGATCTTGCCTATTGTAATTTTTAATGGCAGCTCCTAGCTCAGTGTTGTGGAGAGACCCCTGGAGCAGAGACCAAATGGAGGAGGCAGCAAAGGGACAAGATAAAATAATTCATCACATGGCTATATGATTTACGGCATTTCCATATTTTTTTTTCATACTCCTGTCATCCGCACATATAGTCAACAGAGAAAGGAACAAGTATCCACAGTGGAAATTATGCTACTGAATTTCCAAGGACAGATGTAGGGCATTGACATGAGAAAAACTGGGTCAAATCAGACCAAATCATATAATGCAAGATGATTAACATACCTGTGAAAAAGGACATATAGGCAAAGCAGCATGAATGATGACTTCATGGAATTTGTTTTGAATAATATTCAGAGTTAACTCTAGTTCACAGAAATAAACCTAATCTCGGTGTACTTAGAGTAATAACTGCAAATGATGCTCTTAAAGAGCTGCCCTAACAGACTCAGAAGCTGCCTCAGCATTTAGAGCCAACAAAGCATGGAGAAGGCTAAGCAGGAGTAACGCTACCAAGAGCAAACTGACCTAGTCTCATCCCAGTGCTTATCACAAATAACTTGATGTCTGTTAGGGGCTCACTGGGGGAAGAACCACAAATCCCAGCGGAATTTAATGTGTGTCTGAGAAAGCACATCACATATTGTGTGCTGGTAACCAACCTTGGTGTGCCAGCAGAGCCCCTGGACATCCAATGAGCTGAGAGAAACTGCTGAGCCCCAAAAAGAATTTCAGGAAAAAGGACAGGAAATATATGTGCAATACCAAGTACTATTAGCTTATTTCACACTTTTTTTCCAGAACACAGAGCTTGGTGTTTATTTGCTTACATCACTTGTAAAAAGTGAAGAAAGCATGAGAGCATTAGAGGTGTTCAGGGAGCAGCTCACCCATCTCTATCAAATTATGCAGGTCAATGGTTGGTCCACATTAAATATTGATAGCATAAATAATGTCTTTCAACAAAGACTTGGGTTACGTTAGCACTTGCTGAACTCATGGCAAACTTAAACAATTCCTCATCTGGGTATAACCATGGCAGAAAACTAAAATAGGTAATACATAGATGTGAAAAGCACATGTTTATATTATTTAATACAGGATAGGTAATTGCCTTTGGTGGTCATGATGTCTAATGTGGTTATTAAAGAGTAAAGTATGTTTCATAGCATCTACTTTATCATGATTTGATTAGATGGACTCAAGGGAAAGTAAATCTTCTGTCAGAATTGGAGACAAGCAACATAAAAGACTCTCAGGCACAGCCTATATTCAAATGGTATTCAAATGGATGACTAGAAATTGTCCTATTAAAGCTTTCCAATATATGGTTTCAATTTTTACATATATATTGCTGTCTCTTGTTGCCTTTCTGCAGTAATCCATTGGTTCACAATCACAAATTACTGCAGAAAGGCAACAAGAGACAGCAATATATATGTAAAAATTGAAAGCTCAGGCTAAGTATATTAGGTAAAATCCTGCAGTCATTACTCTTCTTCCCCTCCTCCCCACATGCATATTTAGATAACTGACTTGCTTAAGCATCTTTAAATAATTAAACATCTTCAGCATTTCGGCAACTCTCAGGCTATTTTCAAACAAAAGATACATTTCCAGGCTTTCAGAGGAAGCTACTAGCTTGGTCTGCCTGTGCCTATGCTACAGAAAGCCATAGGAATTCCTCTGACTTGTCCCAGTGTTCATTGTGTAAATGAAGTGGCACGTATTCATGCCAGCTCCCCTCTGATTGGGGCTGTGCAGATACCCAAATTCTCTTTTAAGTCAGTGTCTACATCTTCAGTCCATTCAGTTAATTTGGATTATGTGGACTCAATTTCAGCTTTTAATGGCAAAGTGTAACTTAATCCTCAGGAAGCAATGGATTTCAAGAGGACTGCTCAAAGAATCAGCACTTCATTGATGCTGAGCAAGGGCAACAGCCATGAAACTGCAGTTCCTGCTTGCAAAAAATTCTCCTGAGTACCACGTGTAAACGCTGACCTAAGAACCAGACACAAACGTATGGCAATTGTAAACAATAATAATTCTACAACTTCTATCTTAGTATGATGAAACACAATTTAAACAGCCTAAAGAGCTGTTCCTAAATGTCCATGTCTATACAGACGTCTTAAACCACAAGTTACAGAAGTTGTTGTATTATAGAAATTGTTCTTAGTAAAGGAAATGGTACTACTATTGTCTTTAACAAGACAGGACCAAGGCCTTGATAAAAAGATGGAAACAACATTTCTCAGAAAGTTCATAATTAATTTCAGATAACACATGCATAAATCCAAATGACGGGATGACTAGAAGTGATGCTATGGGGACTATGTTTAGAGAACTAGGAAGGGCAGCAAAGACATATATTTAAAATAAATTATGCATAGGAAGACATTGAAGAATTGCAAAGAGTAAATTTCAAACTACAGGTAATAGAAGCAGAGCAGCCTGTGTACTCTTAATACTGCATCTATACCAAAGTAGCATAAAGGAGATAGTGTCCTAAATCTATATATTGACAACAAAATGCACTTTCAGTAGTTAATTGGCAAGTTATTTTGGTTTTCATTTAAAAAAAAAGAGGCAAGTGAACCTGAATCAGCACACGTGCTGGTTAAAATGAGCACATACCTAGAACCAAGTGAGTTGCAGCAAGAACTATCGCCTGCCCAGCCAGTTGTCAGGAGTTTTAAGAAATGATTAACAGCACTGTAAGTCTTTGGAGCGAGTGAAATGGGTGAGGGGCCTAATGGCACAGACAGAGGAAGCGTTGGACTTACTGTGAAAGTGAGGAAACTGATTTGTGATAGGGGAAGATGGACTAGACTCTCATAAAGAATCCAATAGCATGTTTCCTCTATTAATAGTAATACAAGCATTCAGGCAACCAAAGGATCAAAGTACAGGCTATGAACTCTCATTTTTGTAGAGAAGTATATCTTTCAAACCTACACAAGCTTTCAATAGCTATATCAATGTACATTATTTTGTCTGTTAAAGAACAGAGGATCCCTGCATCTCTCAGGTAATCAGTCTGGCACCTTTCACAAGCATTAAAACTATTTAGAATCATAGAATTGTTTAGGTTGGAAATGACCTTTAAGATCATAAAGTTCAACCATTGACATAGCACTGCCAAGTCCACCAGTAAACCATATTTCTGAGTGCCACATCTACACATCTTTAAATACCTTCATATTCCACCACTTTTCTGGACAGGCTGTCCTAGCGTTTGACAATCCCTTCAGTGAAGAAATTTTTCCTAAAATTCAATCTAAGCCTCCCCTGGCGCAACTTTGAGGCCATTTCTTCTTGTCCTGACACTTTGTTACCTGGAGGAGAGACCGACTTCCACCTTTCTACAACCTCCTGTCAGGGAGTTGCAGAGAGTGATAAAGTCTCCCCCGATTCTTCTTTTCTCCAGACTACTTAATGCAAATAAATCAATCTCCCATTAAAATTACATGTCAGGTTTTAACACATTTATTTGTATTGGGTAAAAATTTGTGAACTCTTCCTTCTTGACATAAGAGAATCTGGTTCTTAGTGCACTGCCTTTGGATTTAGACCAGACTTTGATACTTTGGTTTGCTGCAGACTATGCATGACCTTGGACTTAAATCTCTCTGTAACTCAGTAAAAGATAAAGCTGCTGTATTTTACAGGCATGGTGAAGGGAACTAGACTTAAGACAGTGTGGATCTCAAATATGATCAAAGCAAATATTACACAGATCATAGAGGCAGGTAAACAGTTGATACATATTGGATGACTCAGCAACAGTGCACAACTTGAGTCGTTGGCCAAATCCAACTAATTGATTAGAATCAATGACAGCAAGAAATCTAGCCTTTTAGGGGGAATAGGAAATATAAATAAACATGCTATTTCAGCTAAAAATATAAAAACTATATTAAGCCCAATTTTAAAAAGCTGATTTTAAAACTATTCTGGTGACATAAATTTCTATTTAGTTTACTGGTTAATTTTTTTTTTCTTTTGGTAAGGCAACAAAATAGACTATATGTCAGTGACCATTGTGGAAAAAATGGCAGATGTGGGTTTGTCACCAGAAATGGTTCTATTGATTTTACTGAGTGTTTCAAGATCAATGAGCCATATTTGAAATTTAACACTTCTTAAAATTAGCATATGTGGTTTTCTCTATCTAAATGAAACTATAAAAAAAATAAAAGCATAAAAATTGAAAAGAACTTAATTTCTTTTGAGATAAAACATTAAAAGTTTCTTTTCATTGAACCTACCTTGTATTCAGCATTGAAAGTCATATTGCAGCATCTTAATTCATCATCATCTCTCTGAACCAAACATCAGGCTGCCTCTTCCCAGTGTTAAATAATGTAGACTGATCCAACTGGCAAATTCATCCCTGGAGAGAAAACAAAAATCATATGACAAGAATACTATTTTCCTTTGCTTTGTTAATCACTGACACAGCATAAAATCAGGCCCTGGAGGCTTCATCTTTTTAGTGAAAAAAGTCAATTTGAGTGTCCCCAGTTCAGCACAACATTTCATCTGACTTTGTGCTATTAGGTTAATTGTTACCCCCCTGGCCAATACAGCATTCAAGTTACAATGCAGTTTCAGCACATGCTTTAAATGTTTTGGTTCAACAGGGACACAGCTTTCCAGTATCAGCTCTTCCTTATCAACACTGTAATTTTCCCTATTAATTCTATATTTTGGAGATTATCAAAACATTATTCATGTAATGAGTGATCTTCAGCATTAGCTAGGCACTCTAATAAAACTTTAATTAAAATATTGCGTCACATGTGGAAGTAAAATTACTTTAATAAAATAATCTGTCATTTAATAGACAAAACAGTGAATGAAAATAAGCAGGTGTAATAGAATAGGATGGAATGAAAAAGAAAATAGCTGAAATAAATAGCTGCTAAATTCACAAGGTAGGAATTCGAGAAACTCAACACTTCAACCAGAAAAAGCAGACTGTCTTAATATTCAACAGTGGAATGAGTGGGCATTTGGGGTAGAAATGTGACCTAAAGACATAAATACTTTGGCTTTAAAAGTCTTATCAGACCAAGGAGCAATTGAAATGGGAAGAGGAAGCCTGGAGATGTTAATTGTGCATACACAGTTTTAAAGGGTTGACAAGCGGAGACTCTCTTTTTTTCCAATTTCCTTTACCCTGGCCTGTAGTAACCTCAGACAATAATTTGTGAAACTGAGGATTTCCAGGGTGCTGTACAGAGGAGCCAAAACATGAGAAATGTCAAGTATATCAAATGGAAGTACTTATCTAGAACAGGTAAAAAAAAAAAAAAAAAGAAGGTAGGTATTTATTTCCTAACTTAGTTCACCATCCCACTACCTATCACAAGGAACAGAGACATTAATATTAGTTACGCCTCCAAAAGCCTTGTCTGTGCTGTGGAAGTGGCCATGTGAGTACTTTCTCTTAATTAAAAAGGAGAAAAGTAGTAAATGACCATTTACAACAAAGTCTGCAATTTTGGAGGAGAGAGGTTTTAGAACTTTCCAAAATGTTTATATATGACATGAAATGGCTTTGGAAATTTGAGTCCAACAGCTAAGAGTAAACAAAGATGCTGTTTGCCAGGCAGGCTCTAGTGCAAACTTTACTTTCTATGTGGACTGATTCTTGGGTAAGAGTACACCTAATAGGGAAACCAGGAATGACAAGGGCCAGGGTCCACTGACTGGTAACAGGCTCATTAAAAAGTGGTTCCTAATGTGTAATTAAGTGGTGTGACTCCTTTCCATGATATACTGCAAAGAGAAAAAGTTTATGTGGGTTTGAAAGAGACTTAACAACTTAATAGAAGGAAAGTCCATGAAGGTTCACTGAATGAATAGAAACCAACCGTGATACATGAAAAGTCTTTGAGCAGCAAGTGATGAAAGCCCTGGAGAGGATCAGTTTGCCCTCTTCTCTTCCCCAAAGTGTCTGCCTCTAGCTGCTGGCTCATCTTCTTATGGATCTCCCTTTTCTGTCAAAAGGTATATTTCTATCCTATCCACAAACAAGTTTCCATTCTCTAAGCATTAGAAACAACACAACAATTTGGCTATTTGACTTCACAAGTTGTCTTCTAGTATATGCTTGCAAAATACATGAGGAGGTAGCCCTGCAAGTAAGAATAAAGTCAATTTTTAGGAAATTGTGCCTTACGTGACACTCAGCAATTTGAATGCTGTAATTTAATTGCTCAAAGGATGTCCAGGCCACGGTGTCAGCATGTGTGGGGCCACCACACAGGCACAACTTGCACAAGCCCTGTCCTGCCATGACTCAGCAGCAGCAAAGCCCTTTTTAGCAGCAGTAGCCACTGCTGTTTCATAATTAAAAGGTCTGAAAAAGTCATAAAATAAATTCCTAATGCTGCTGCCTGTTTTAATAACTCATTAAGGGCACAGATATTAGCCAGGTCCAACTGTCACAAGTCATCAGGATTGAAAAAAACATGATCTGTCTGGGTAAAATCTTAGCACAAAGAGAGTTGTAAGGGCTCTGGCAAAGGAAGAAAACTTCAGCTGTTTGTTTAATTTGTGTTAGCTAACCAGATACTACTTCTGGCTCATCTAAAGATACTTTCAGAAGAAGAAAAAAAGAAAATCCTCTGCTGCAACTTAAGTGACTCGGTAGTAACAAGCATCACCTCTCTCCATGGGAAACAAAGTGTTGTATTTGTCACAGCTGATCTTAGGAAAAGGCTGTCAGCTGAAAACATATTGTCGTGGGGTTTCCTTAACAGCCAGGTGACTAAACAAAATGAATGGAAATTCCTGCCTAGACAACATCTGTTTCTTTATTTTGACCCATTCCCTCTCCCTTCCCTGATAAGTCCTTCAGCACCTGGGATCCATGCAGCTGGGCACAGAAGCTTTCCCATCTGACTCAACCCAGCAGAAGATTTACAATTCTTGCTGTGTGCTGTGGAGGGACAAAGACCTCCAGCACGGCGAGACTGAATTTCATGTGAAAAATGTTTGCATTAACTGTTTCAGCCACAAATTCTTGAAACTCTGGGGAACAGGAGGACACTTCCTCCTTTTTTTCCCCATTCTGAAGAATAGCCCAATGCACCATATGACACTTGTCTCTTAAAATGCATCTATAAGAAATCCAATAAAAACTGCATTTTCTCTTTTATAATTACTATATGAGCAACATACACATAAGGCAATCCAGAATTAGAGTTCATCCTGAATATTATTTCAGGTACCTTGCTGAAAATGCTCCATGCAAACACCAATTTAGATAAAGACAATTAAGTAAAGTAGTTAATTGATCTTTGTTTCTGACATAGATCAATTATTAGTATAAAAAGCCTTTCATCATGGAAGGAAGCTGCTCATATCTTCACCTCAAATCATAACATTTCTGACTTTAACTATGCTTGACTGAAGAATTAAACGTGGGCTAAAGAATTTAGTATATATATGTTCTATAAAACATAATCATCAGAATTGAGAAACCAGCATTCAAGTTCAAATTATTGTCCTCCTTGGCACACGTTTGCCTGTTTTCCTTTTAGTTCTTCTGTCTCAACACAACTTGATCACTTTTTCCACCAGCCTCTGTTTTTGCTTCTGGACAGATCCTTGCTTCCATCATTTCTTCTATTAAATGTTTTTCCTCTCCCTCCTCACCTCCTTTAAAGTGAGTATGAAAGAAACACCTTTAGCCAACTCAGCCTGCTAGCCTTAAATCCTTCATAATTTCCCTGTGGCTTGTGGACTTTGTGGATAATGAGATCCCCTGCCACCAGGAACCCGATCAACTCTCTTTTTCATCACCTCCTATCACCATGATGGTTGGGAGTGCTCCTGAAAAAGAAAGACAGCCAAGCCAATGTGGAATCCTTTTTTTCCAGCTAAATCTTTTGTTTCTAACGACAAGAAATCTCAGAGCTTCTCAGCAAAGAGATCTGTTTCAACGTACCAGGGAAACCTTGTGTTTGAGACACTGGCATGTGAGATCTGGTGGGACCCCTCTTCCCATGTAGGAGGAACAACAGATGCAGGCTGCAAAAGAGGCAAGTGACTTCCTACCAGCTGTCTGTGCCATGGCTCTGTTCACTGGTGCAGATTGTTAAAGGTCAGAACAAGGAAAAAAGCCCACTATTTTCTGGAAGTTAGGAACTGTGCTTGTCTTTTGGATTGCACATCCCAAACATGAGAGTTATGGCCTGGACTCACTTCAAACCCACCATGTAAGAGAGTCAGAGCTTGCTGTCTCTTAGATTACTTGTGTCCAGTCTGAGCACTACCAAATAGCAGACAGGGCAATGGAAAAAACAAGAAAGCATTGAAATCCAAAAGTCATAACTCACTGATGATATATGTGATTGCCAAGGCACTGAAAAACCTCTGAGGACCAGACCCTGACTGAACTTTAACAGAATCAGGGTAAGCCTCTGTTGAAATTGGAGTGTAATATCCTTCACAGACTTCTTTAGCTTATAAATACTTGCAATGTAGAGGTTTCAATTTACACCTGTTTGATAAATATGAAAATAAATAACAATTCCAGGTGCAAAATGCTAAGGAGCAATTGCTGTTAAAATCAGCTCTGGTGATGAATTAGTGCATTTGGAAACCATCCATGCTCTTCTGGATCTGATTAGGGGGTGGCAACTTCTGCTGGTAGTGCAAATGATTATCAGTAGCAGCAACAAAAGGCTTTTGGAACTCTTCCGTGGATGAATTTCCAGCTGAGCTGTCTGGACACACCTACCAAAGCAAACCAAGAGAGAGAGGATAAGCAGTGTCTAGGGCCTATTAGTAAGAAGATGAAGCATGGCTCTAAAATTCCAGGCACTGAGTCATATTAATTTCCTAATTTTTGCCCCTTTCCTTGGCTCCAGGCAGTCACACAATGTTCCACTTGTGCAGGACTACAGCACATGGATTTGCCAAAAGAAAAGAAATTCCAAGCTTGCTTTTTCATAAAGAAAATAGGGTTGTCCTCTTAAACTACATCTGCTGCTTCCTAGTTTTATGTGCAGGGATGTTAGAAAGAAGTTTTTGTACTTTTACAAAGGTTTTAGACACAAGCCCTTAAAAAAAACCCCAAAAGCAAAACATGAAGAGAACAGAATCAGTTTCCAAATAGAAGTATTCCAGGACAAAGCACTGAAGCCTATGTGCTTGTTGCACCTGGGTAGCTCCTGATATTTTGGGCAAGAGGAATTCCTGCTGGAACAACTGTGCTCAGGAGGGGAGCAGGGTGTAGACCTCCCTGCCCACCCACGGTGTCAGAGCAAAGAGATGCTGATGTTTTCCTGCTGTTTTCTCAAAAACTTATTAAAAATGCTACAAACGCACAAGATCCAGTAGTCCCTGGGCACACCCACAGCATTAACCAGTGTCACCTCACTGGACTAAGAAAACAGTTTCTCTGTGGCATAATGATTTTTTTTTAATGTTTACAATACTCCACTGTTCTAGAGGGGGAATTCTGAGGTAGAACTCAATTTATGACAGAGATTGCATGACTTGGATTCCACGATAGCAGAGAGCCATGCTTCCAGACCTGTATTCCTTCAGCATGAAGGAGTTCCTCAGGCCCAGAAGAACAGTGATTATCTTGGTCTTATTACAGCTAACTTGCTTTCTGCTCTGAAAAGCGATGTTTCTTTTGGTTTAGTAAAATTAAGTAGTACCTATCTATACAGAAAAGTGAGGATCTTTCTTCTCTTGTAATGATTTATGGAAAAAATAAGAAAAGAGGATACCCAACCCACATCCCAACCCACCTAGGAATTAAGACTTCTTATAGGGTTTGAAAAAAAAAAAAGATGAACAACATGTTTGTAAATGTAATAATGTATGCCCATATGGAAGGAAAAGCTAAACTGCCCTTTTCTATGAAAGAAACTCAACAGATTGCCTAGAAATAGGCAGCTCCCGTTCCCTTTACTGAGGGAAGCAAATGCTATCCAGATGGAAATTATCAAATGGATCAAACAGATACATTTTATTCCCAAATGATCTTTGTTCTACTTATTACTCATTATACCAGGAATTTTTTTTTCTATAGCCCAAATGCAGTAAAGAGAACATTATTTATCCTATGCTCATTCAAAATATTCTTTATTGAAGGCTTCCCTGATGAGATATCGATCTCGACACACAAAAAGGGTGAGAAGAAAAGCATCCTTCCTAATGGGAACATTAATTTAAGATCTCTGGAATCTGTTAATTCCCATTAAGCCC